AGACAGGGTAAGCAGATTTCTGTTTGGAAATATTACCAACTGGATTGAGCTGGAAGAGAGAGGAGATCAGTACTCTCAACAAAAATCACTCACCCATGGCAGGAGCTCACAGTCTTCCACAACAATGAAAGAGCAGAAAAATCCTGTGGCTAATTTCAAGTACATTTCAGGAAACAATTCTAAGTTTAGCAAAGGCTTCTGTGCTCCAAAGATCTTGCTCCAGCCTTTCTTTATCTAGTGGTATTTTCTTTCAGTAATTTGAAGGTTGGAGGTGGCGCAGGGGACTTTTTGGCCTTAGGGCTGTGACTTTACATTTTCAAAGTCAGTCAGTCAGGAGGAGTTACATAAAACCATTTTTCAGTTGGGCTTCACAGTCACATATGAAACTTGGCCTTTCAGGAAACTGGCATTTTTTTAAAGCACTTGATCTACACTAGTCAATGTCCATTACAAGAAATTTAGTTCCAGTCTTCTCTCTTGGTTGTCCACAATAGACAAGAGGTATTCCAAATGTGTACACATACAGGAAACAAAGCTTTTCTTCCCCACATCTCTGAAAACACTACAGTTGCTAAATATTAATCAGATGATGGAATTAATGACCTGTACCAGGCTCATGGTGTTGCAAACTGGACTCATGGTGTTTTAAAAAACATCCAGAGTCACCTGAAATATTTATCTTGCATGATGTAAAGAGAAAAGTGCCTGTTTCCTCTGTGGAGGAAAATAAAATAACTTGGCTTTCAAGTCCCTTCTGTAAAAGGGTCATTATAGTATCAACAAGTAGCTAAACCAACCAGCTTGAAAATGCACAAATGATCCAGGGGTCCCTAAATCAGGAATTGATGCAGGACTATGTCAGCAGCAAGCACACTGTAAGCCCCTCAGCCTCCATTGCTGTCTGGACAGCCTGCAGCTTCTGTCTGTCCCAGCTGCTGAAGTAAAGGTCTGTTTTAAAGGAGACTCATTATACACACCATGATGTGAAGAGTAGAAGGCAAGCTGAAAAGAAGAGAGAACATCTATTAGCTGAGCCACCACCAGGCAAACCAAACTGGCAACTCTCAGTTCCCTCAGATGGATGGAGGGGGTGTGAGTAGGCTCTGCCTCCTCAGCTGCCCTGCCTGGCACAAGGCTAAGCAGCTGGTGCACAATTCCTCACTCAGAGAAGAGAATGGACAGCATCACAGTCCTGGCAATGGTGTATGCATTAACAAATGGAAAAGCTGCTCTTTCTGAGGACTTGTGTGTTCAGCATGCTCCATTACCATAACAGAGAAGGGTGAAAGGCAAGGTCCCAGCATGAGTGCACTTCGTTCTCCATGGGGAAGAAACAAGCACTCCATGCTCAGGGGAGTGTGGTGTGCCAAGGCATAGAACAGCACTGCTGGACTTTCTGAGATGCCTTGCAAGTAGTCACTGCAACAGACATTTGACAGTGAACCCTGTTCTGGTTTCCCTGCAGGAGAAAACAATGTGAATAAGATAAAAACATATCTCCTGTTTTATTGTTGCATGGAAATAAGGAGGCGTCTGTCATGCCACTGATACTCAAAGAAATTCATGTCTTACCCTTCCCAAGACGTAGGATCATATCTAATGCACTTCTGTCTGGGACAGGTTCCATGACATGCCTCCATACCTCTGTTTCCTACGCATAATGATTTACAATGTAATGAAACCTAAATTCATCTCCTGCAGCCAGCCTGCTGAGAACAGCATTAATGGAAATCAAATTTTACTTCACTACACAGGGAGGAGAGACTGCTCTGAGGTCACTGTGGTTTGCCAAACAGCAGTGGCAAGTGACTTTGCTTAAAATCTCACTTCTTCTTACATCCATTTAAAGAAAATTTCAAAGTAGGAGTATTTTGGATTAGGTTTTCTGCTCCTACCTTCATATATTTGCCTCCACAGGATATGTATGGTTTTTAGCATTCAAAGCCAGCTGTCATACTCAAAGCTGTGAAGAACATGTTCTCTGCTTGTCACAGTTGTGGTAGACAAATGCAAATGAAGGACTTTAGGGTTCAGGCTTTTTCCCAAAATTATATTAATTCACAACTACAGGCATGACAGGCCTCTCACATCCAGGAAACAAATGAGCAGAAAGAGGGACAGGTACAGCCCCCGTTTGGCAGAAGGGTTCAGCTCAGTTTGCCTTGTCCTCTGTGTATAAGGACAACTTCATGCTGAGATGTCTCATATGTATGCAGTTTCTGAGGGTCACTTTTGCTTGGAGCCTGCCCTCCAGCCATTCCCTGTTCATCAGAAGGGCATTTGGCTGGTGATATCTCCTACAGAACAGACAGGCACTTGTTAACACTGACAGCCCAAGCAAGGGTAGACTATCCAAGAGAACTTGGAACAAGAATTATCTTCTTATTTTGTCTAAGAACCTGGCCAGTTGGTCAGGCTAGAGCAATTAAGAAGTGAGGCATGACATTTTCCACAGCAGAAGAAATGCCCACATTTTTATTTGGCTAAATGTGAAAGGAACATGCCAGATAGAAACCATTTGTCATCATGAATGATGGCTATTGTTGCTCCTGTTGACATTTGCAGGAGATCTTATTTGAAGGGGTATACACGTGGAAGCACTGTTGAGTTATTAAAAAACCCAAACAGCTGTTCAGCTCCCTGCATATGGTGAAGTCCTGTAGTACTTTTCTCCTTCTTGTTCACTCTTTTCATCCGTCACTGACCCAGAAAACCACCCCAGCAGACAGGATACCCAAGTATGTAATGCCACATGGTTGTTCAGGTGTTCTTGTGGAAATATCCTCATATTTCAGAGGGCATAATGACTAGAAAAAGGGACTGTGAGTGCCCAGTGAGCAGCCACAAAAATACTGAAAATCTCCAACCATCCATGAGTTATTTGACACTTCCAGAGGCCAAAAAATGCATGATTTTACTGTATTTTGGTCTGCAAACCCAGAACAAAGGCTGCAGCTGGAAAAAAGATTTAGTATGGACTGGTTTGATTCGACTGAATAGCATGTAAAATGATTCCACTTCCTAGGGGTTGCAGGATTGTCCTGAGCCTCATCACATACTTGCAAACAAACTCACTTAAACTGCAAATTTTGTTGCTATAGTGTGTCAAAGCTCTTGACAGGTTTGGAAAGCAACAAAGTAACAGAGGAGTTTAGTAAGGCAACAGAGAGCAAAGATTCAGTTTGTTTTTTCTCCTGAAAACTGGGTCTGTGCCTTGCTGTGCAGGGCAAGCAAGAGAAGAGATCCTCACATACTTTCCCTGAGCATTCAGATGCAGTCACGACTTCTATAAACAGAATACTAACTTAGAAGCACAGCTGTTTTTCTCTTCTCTAACAGGAACTTATCAAAGTGTTGGATTCAAACTTAAGCTTGCACTTGTTTTCCCCTCAATCAGAGACTGCAGCCCTGAAGGAATTGGGATTTTTGTTATTTTGGGTTGGTTTTGTTTTGGTTTTGTGGTATGTTTTGTGGGGTTTTGTTTGTTTGTGAGTTTTGCTTGGTTTTGGTTTTGTTTGGGTTTTTTTGTGGGTGTTCTGTGGGGGTTTTTTGGTTTTGTTTGGGTTTTTTTGGTTTGTTTTTTTGGTTTGTTTTTAGAGACTGCAGCCCTGAAGGAATTGGGATTTTTGTTATTTTGGGTTGGTTTTGTTTTGGTTTTGTGGTATGTTTTGTGGGGTTTTGTTTGTTTGTGAGTTTTGCTTGGTTTTGGTTTTGTTTGGGTTTTTTTGTGGGTGTTCTGTGGGGGTTTTTTGGTTTTGTTTGGGTTTTTTTGGTTTGTTTTTTTGGTTTGTTTTTTTGGTTTTTGTTTTTTTTTTTTTTTTTTTTTTTTTTTTTTTTTTTTTTTTTTTTTTTTTTTTTTTTTTTTTTTTTTTTTTTTTTTTTTTTTTTTTTTTTTTTTTTTTTTTTTTTTTTTTTTTTTTTGTTTTTTGTTTTTTGTTTTTTG